AAGTGAAAGCCCCACCTAGCCCTGCCCAAGAGCTTTTTGCAAAGGGGTGTTTTGGAGCAAGAAGACAGCAAAGGTCAGCTAGGGTGGCAGAGCGTAGAACAGCAGGGGGCAAAAGGGCATAGATGGGGGGAGATAGGTGAATGGGAGGAGTTGAAATGCTCCTGTGGTCATAAGTGCGGGCAGGCTACCAAGCACCTGAATTTTGATCACATGACTGTGGGGGCACTGGCCGTAACGTCAGCACTGGTTGGAAGTCACTTTTTTCAGCACATTCGTAACTTCAGGCAGTTGCTGAACAAATGGTCGTAAGTTGAGAATTACCTATACATGAATGTAAAGAAATTTTTTGTTCCTTTGTTAATTTAGAGAAAACGTATAATAAATTATGTTTATTGTATTCATGCTTACCATTGTTATTATTATTATTATACACAACAATGTGAAATCATAGCTGCCAGTTCTTTAGCTGGTGTTGTTCTTCATTCGCACTGAGTTCTTCCCAAGAACCTGGGATGTTGTAATGTATTGGTGAAGTAGATGTGTGGATCCAAGCAGTGTGGTCTTTTGTAACTGACGGATGGAAATGTTGTCAATGCGCAGATTTTTTAAATGCCATCCAAGACTTTTTGGTATGGCACCCAGTGTGCCGATAACCACTGGGACCACCACTGCCAGTTTATGCCACAATTTTTCAACTTCAATTTTCAGATCTTGATACTTTATGATCTTCTCCAATTCTTTTCTACTCTATTCTACTATCCCCTGGTATTGCCACGTGAATTATCCATACTTCCTTCTTTTCAACCACAGTTAAATCTGGTGTGTTATGTGCCAAGACCTTATCAGTTTGTATTTGGAAATCCCACAATATTTTAACCTGCTCATTTTCAACTACTTTTTCAACCATATGCTCCCACCAATTTTTCATTACTGGCAAATGATAATTTTTACAGATATTCCAGTGACTGGGTTATGTCGTTGTTTACAGTCAGTTTGTGTGATCTTCTTGCACAAGCTGAGTATATGATCTACTGTTTCTTCTGCTTCTTTGTGCAATCTACACTTTGAATCATTTGATGATTTTTCAATTCTGGCCTTGATTGCATTAGTCCTGAGCAGCCAAAATCAAGCCTTCAGCTTCTTTTTTTAATGTTCCAGTTGTAAGCCATTGCCAGGATTTATCTTTACCCACTTTCCCCTCAATCTTTTGTAGAAATTGACCATGTAATGCTTTTCCTTGCCAACATTCTGTTCGTGTTTTTATTACATTATTTCGATATTCACGTTTTGTTTCCTATACATTCAGTAAGTTCAAATTTTTAACTTGCATCAGTGTTTGTTCTTGACCGTCTTTTACATAATCAGCCAATGCATGCTTTTCTTCTTTACGTTGTTTGACTTAACCTAAACCTCTGCCTGCATTTCTGCAGGGCAGGTATAATCTATCAATATCACTACAGGGACGTAATGCATAGTGAATAGTCATGAGTTTTCTTGTTTTTCAGTCCAAATTATTTTTATGATTATGGTTGGTCACACAGTCAGCCAGATGTTTAGACTGGATTTGGCATTTTTATCTACCGATCAAGTTCTTCCCAACGACCTAGGACAGGCAGATATTGTTTGATGGTGTTAAAGGTATTGTCACAGGATATAAGCTGTTCCAAGTAAAGCTGCCTT